CGCAAGGTCGGCAAGGGTGCTTATCACACCTGGCTGATAACACCTGGAAGACAAATAGCGACAGGGGTGGTAAACAGAAGCGCAACGTTTCCTCGTGTAATTAACCCAAGGTGTAATCCCCCAAGGTGGCAACGGATTCGCCTTGTTCCATGTTTTACCACGCGATATAGATAACACGGGTACGAGTGTTTGTGCATCGCAATGTGCGTGATTGGCCGCGCGCAATATCATTAAAATTATTGTATACAATAAAATACAATTAAAATTATTGTAAATCGTGGTTGTTATTATTATTGTTGTTATTAGTTTCCGTGGAGAAAGGAGCGAGAGGTGAAGATAACTTTTTTTGAAAAAATTAGTTGTTTGTATCTCTTTTTTGTATATATTTTTTTTTCTTTTTTTTATTTCTGTCCTGTTCGTACGCAATTTGTAAAACGTTATAGATAGTATACGAGTGTTATATTATTTTATGGGTTTTTTTTCTTAACCTCGTATCATGAAATTGAAATGAGAATGGATGAAGTAGTATATTTTGTATACATGTATAAAATGGTTGATTTAATTTCTGAGCGATGTATTTATTGGAAAATGAAATATGATCGTTCGGGATTAAAGGAAATAAAAAAGGTTTAAATGTGGAAATTTTGGAACGAACAAAATTGGGAACAAGAACAAGGAATAAGAAATAAAGTATAGCGCGCTAGATATTCGGATAGATATTTCTATGGAGCGAAGAAAATAAAATAATCGTTTAGAATTAAAGGAAACGAAAAGGTTTAATAAATGTGAAAACTTACGAATAAAATTGGGGACAAGAATAAAATATTTGATAGCCATTTCTGTGAAGGAAAATAAAAGGGAAATATGATTTAGGATTAAAAGAAACAAAAACTTACAGGAAACTTACGAACAAAATTGGAGAATAAGTTATAAGGAAGAAAGTATAGCGCGTTAGATATTCGGTAGCCGCATCTGTGAAGGAAAATAAAAGGAAAATATGGAGATATTTAGTAGATCGTTTTTAAGATTAAAGGAAACAAAAAGTGGAATTTAAATGTGGAAATTTACGAGCAAAATTGGGGACAAGAACGAGTTATAAGGAATGATACCGTGATAGATATTTGGTAGCCATTTCTGTGAAAATAAAAGGAAAATATGATCGTTTTTAGAATTAAAGAAAATAAAAAGATTTAAATGTGAAAACTTATGGACAAAATTGAAGAATAAATTATAAGGAATAAAATATAGCGCGTTAGATATTCGGTAACGATTTCTGTGAAGGAAAATAAAAATATGATCCTTTTTAGAATTCAAACAAAAAGATTTAAACTGGAAACTTACAAGTAAAATTGGGGACAAGAACACTATCTATCATTCCTTATAAAAAATGATACTGTGATAGATATTCGATAACCACTTCTATAAAGAAAAATAAAAATATGATCGTTTAGAATTAAAGGAAACAAAAACGTTTAAATGTGGAAACTTACAAACAAAATTGAAGACAAGAACATTTTATAAGAAATGATACTGTGATAGATATTTGATAACCACTTCTATAAAGAAAAATAAAAATATGATCGTTTAAAATTAAAAGAAACAAAACATTTTAATATGGAAACTTACAAACAAAATTGAGGACAAGAACACCTTATAAGGAATGATATCGTGATAAATATTCGATAACCACTTCTATAAAGAAAAATAAAAATATAATCGTTTAAAATTAAAGAAAAACATTTAAATATGAAAACTTAGGAGCAAAATTGGAAACAACGGACGAAGGAATAAAGGAATAAGTTAGAAGAAAATATAATATAAGCCTGATAGATATTCGCTAGCATCGAATAAATTCTCAAAGTTCATTCGAGGAGAAGCGTTTCCGCTCCCGTCTATTCCGAATATCCCGAATAGTGCTCGATCCATTAAACGATAACCGGCCAGCAAAGACACAGCCATACACCAGGTAATAGAAATCTTTTTCTCCAATTTCCAAGTATTCTCTTTCGAACACCTTCTCTCCCTTTTTCCCCGCGATAAAACCTGGCCCCCTTTATCCAGACCACGCTCCGAACTTATTCCATGCCCGTGATCCACGTCGCCCGCCTACGACGACGCTGCTCCCCGCCGTCTACGACGCACGAGCGCGGCCGCCGCCGCCGTGTTTGCCCTCCTCCTTATGCTAAATCCCCGGCTCCTCCGTGGCGAGGGGGATGGGGGCAGATAGTTCTCTCCTAGATCCCGTTTCGAGAAAAAGGAAACGGTTCTTCTTCTTCTTCTTCTTCTCCTCCTCCTCGGTTGGAAGGAGGTGGAAAATTCCGAAAGTTGGTCTCTCTGCTCGGTGAAACAGGTCACGGAACCAGAGATAGAGAGAGAGAGAGGGAGGGAGGAAGAGAGGAAGTGGCGAGGAGGCGGTGTTTAAAAAGTTTTCCCTCGGCTCGGTTGCGGATTCTCCTCTCCCTCCTCCCCCTGGGGATAAAACAAAGGATAATCAGGCCGCTTTTTATTTCGTCGGGTCTGTGTCGGGTATGTAGTTGAGAACCAGAATTATCGGCTTCTCCCTTTTTTCCTTCCCCTTGAAGTCTTCACCTTCTAAGCTCGAATTAGGCCACGTTAATCCTTCGATTCGTTAGGCAGTTCCCAGAGGCAACTTGCGTACAAACTAAACCAACCAGACAACGTCCTTAACGTGTATTTTTGTTTTTTTCTTTTTTTTTTCCCCCTTTTTATTCTTGCTAAAGGAAGTTGAACGAGGTTCGTCGACCTTGGAAATCGGATGAACTTCGGATCTCGCGAGTTTCCCCTCGAAGGGAAAGGAAAGTGGATGATTAATTTTGGAGACAATTGTCACATTTGATTTTAAAGGGAGAATTTTCGTATTCAGGACACGTTATTAACAGGACACTTTATAAGAGCACACCTTTAACAGAATGTTTTTACACACTCGTATATTCAGCGCGCGATCTTAACCGGAGTTCAAACCGTTCCGCGAATTCCCGTCGACATCGTGTTGTTAAGGCTCGTGTTCCGAATATAACGTCGGGAACAGGTTACGCTCGCAAAAGTAGGGGGAGTAAGTTTAAAAATCTTTAACAACTTCTGAATATCCGAACGTGTTTAAACATCAGTTTCTGCAGTTTCTGCAGTACTCTTTCCTCCATTATTTCGCTTATATATATATATATATATATATATATATATATAT